GCCGAAGACGTTTAATAACAAAAAACTATGATTCGCATTCGGTTAAATTAATTATTATTTCTCTTCAAGCAATGTGTCTCGAACTAACGCCCTGGAGTGTTGCTCGCGGATACAGTAATATCTTTCTTAATTTTGATTAACATATTGGTCACTATTAAAATTAACCAATTTTACTAATTAAAAATGTTAAAAAAATATACACATTGTAGCCGTTGATTGGGAGAGCTATAAAAGATAATATGAATAAAGGACCAATTTAACTCCAACGGTATACAAGAAGATAATGATACAATTTCAGTAAGTGAAGTAGCCTTTTATAACTGTTAGAGGATTAATTCTGTAATTGGACAATATGACGCTATAGAACGAATACTTTGATATCAATAGGTGATAATAATGGGTGATGATATGACGATGATTTTATGATGATTTTATGATGATTTAGTGATATATTAATAAAAAGTGGACGAGATATCAGCGATATATTCAAGTTCACGTGACGTATAAACTTCCACAAGTAACCAATGTGAATAGCAATATTTGATTCCACAAGTATACCCGAATTCGAGCCTTAATAAGCGAATCGAAATTACAAGTCAATTCATCCGTCGAACTGTTATTAAAGTTACAAGTCGAATTCAAAAGATAAAGTTTCAAAGGAAAATTCAGTTAAGTAGATACTTTTTATTATTTATTGGTAATTGAAAGTGGACATGGACTGTCCTTTTGTTTATTGAATTCAAGGTTCTTATATACATTTTAATTTTCAAGAATGTAGACACCAAAATTTTAACGTTTACACCCAAAATCTAACGTTTACGTGAAAATTTGGCGTATATGTTGTAAACGGGAATGGAACCATAATAGGTTCGGAATCCACCTAGATTAGAACGGAATAATTATACTAAAAATCCAAACCTTAACCTTAAAAATTCCGAATCATAAATTCTATTCCCACCTACAACACATACACCGAAAAGTCTTAAGGTGCTGTCATTTTGTAATCACGTATACGCGAATTCTTCGGCGTTTACGTGATTCATTTGATTTTCATACACCTAAGCCACTAAGCCACCTACAATTTCCAATAGAATAAACGATAAAGAAATAATAAGCCGATTTATGTAGACCGGACCACAAAAATTGGATTAATTGTGGTCAAATTTGCAGATTATTTGGCCTAATGTGGATGAGTTTTAAATTCATCCCGTTAAGCAAAATGATCTGCAAATTTGACCAGAATTAAACCAATTCTTGGTGTCCGATCTACATAAATGGCTCAACGCTATCAAAATGAATATTTAGAAGAAAAATAAGAAAAATTCTATTTTATTGAATTGTAATAACGACCAACTAATAATTCTATCAATAACAATATAAATCGCTATATTTAATAGACTAATCGATAAATGCTTTAAATGTTTACTAACATATTTGTACTGTACATATAAAAATATTTTTTGACATATTGAATTATTTAACTAAACACTGGTTTATCGGAGTACGATTAATTGAATTGACCATAAATTTTTAAGTTTAATCAAAATTTCATTTAATGTCGGACGTTTTTCGGGTTCAGACTGCCAACAGTTTCTGTAGATTTTCGCATAATATACTGGAGTTCCATTTATATCTTTCTCTCCTCCCTCTTTTATAAGTGTTAACGGTATATCAAGCAATGGTAAACCTGAGAACGGAGGAGTTTTACTTGTAAGCTCCCATAATATCATACCTAGGCTATAAATGTCACACTTATCTTTAATAATCTTTCGGTCAGGATAGAGATAGCATTCTGGAGCGGTATAAGCCAGTCGACCTTTTACAATCAAAGTTGATGTATCATTATTTGTTGTTGATGCGTTAAAATCTGATATTAAAATTCGGTCATTATGAACCAGGACGTTATCAGAGCACTAGAAAAGTTTATATAAATAATTTGTGCATTAAAATAAAGGATTTGTAATTTCTACATCACTGTTAGCAGAAATGAACATGGACAATATGAACCAATGGGCATAGACATTTATGGATTATGCCCATTATAAATTGTGCTAAATTAAATATAAAGAATTTTTTTATGTGCTTCCGAAGATTTTTTTTTTTTATCAAGTAAATATCTCCTTTCAACTTAATAAAAGCTGCTCGTCATCATAAATTCATCAAAATCGACACAATTGTTTTTTTAAATATAGCTTTTTAAAATAGATAATTAAAATTTTTGATGCCAATATTGAGAGAAATGCTAAGCTAATTTTGATATTTTTATCACTATTAAAACTAGAGACATGAGCATTTTATTTAGCTAAAAATTTTACTTAATAAAAAAATCTTCGTCTGATTTTTTTTTAACTTTTTAAATCATTTGGATTATTCCATGTCCATATTTGTCCCATACCCAATAAAAATTAATAGTGGACATAGTCCAAATACCAACATTATCCTACTTAGTTAAGAACGTACCAGATCTCCGTGGTATATGTTGTTTTCGTGCAAGCAACTTAAGCCGCAGGTTATATCAATGGCAAAGTTAACAATATTTGCCCAAGAAAATTCACCGCTTTTCCGTTTTGTTTGTAAATATTGGCGTAAATTTCTTCCATTAGCAAATTGCAATATAAGTATGCGATCATCTAAAGTTCGTCAGACCATAATATGTTACTATTTTAACGTTATTTAGTTTTAGAGCAATTTTAGGGCAAGCTAATTCATACCTTTTGAAGCTCCATAAAATTTGATAACATTGGGATGGTTGATATGAGATAATTCTTTAAATACTTTAAGCTATATGTATAATAAAATCTGTTAGTATTTGTATCATTTCACCCACAATCACTTCAGTTTACTGACAGTTATTGCACTTTGCAAGATTGTATGATCCCTAGGTAGGGTTTGGGGCACAGGAAAAAAATTAGGCATTCCGCTCATTCCCATGGGCATACCCTTTCTAAATCATAGGACTTACATATAGTTCACGAGTTCGCAACTCTAAAATCTCGTACCGTAAATTTTCGAAATAGCGCCCAGGGGTGAAATTACGAAATTTGGCCTAAATTAGGATTAATTCGGGCCAAAACTCAAAATAACCCATGCCCGCTATTTTGAGAATGTACGGTTTGCCTCGTGCCCCTGTGCCCCAAACCCTATTCTCAGGGTTGTAAAATTACGTTGTAATTTATGGTAAATTACCAAAATGGCAAGTTACTGCGAAAATTTCCATGTTTTATGTCGATAGTGGTTGCAAGCATTTGGTAACTTACTATCAAATTTACGGTAACTTCATAGACAGTCATTTTATAGACATCTTATTTTATAGACAATTAATTCATAGACAAAGACAATTAATTTACAAACAGTTCATTTCATACACAGTTCATTTTATAACTAATTTATTTCACATGCCTAATTCAGACTAGTAGATTGAGCTATTCTCCGTCAAAGATTGTCTATGAAACAAACTGTAAACGAACTTTCTATGAATAAACTGTCTGTGAATTAATTACCTTTAAAATAAATTTGTCTATATGGCCACGCAAAGTTGATTTTTCGTTTTGCATAAAATGAGATCTGACAAATTGGGTATTTAGAACTTTGCGTGGCATAAATTGATTGTTTATGAAATAAGATGTCTGTAAAATAATTTTTTGTGAAGTAATACGTATCCGCTTACTGGTAATCTACAAAGGTAACGTACCACGGTAGTTTATCACTAGCAACCCTGATATCCCTATGATTATTAATTTTTTTTTTGTGATTGCGATTGTGTTTCAAAGCCGGCCAATTTATCATAAATTTGTATTTGTGTTGGAACAGCACAAACTCGATTTATGATAAATTGGCCAACTTAATAAACACAATCGCAATAGCAGAAAAAACTAATAATCATTTGGGTCACATAATTTCAAAGCGCAATAATTTACAAAAATGCTTGTTTTACCGAACTTAATTCGCTGAAAGTCCATTTACAGACAGTTTATTTCACCGACAAGTTTTTTTATAAAGTGCACTAACCTTAACTCTAATTATAAATTTGATCCTAACGAAAATGAGCAGAATCACTTTATCGGTGAAATTAGCTGTCGGTGAAATAAACTGTATGTGAAACCAATTTGTCTGCGAATTAATCTCGCTAAAACAGATCATTTAAAATTGTCAAGGAGGATTTCTCCGTAAAAAATTCGACTAAATTAATTACTTCTTGATTAAATGCCTCCTCTTCTTTACATATCTTTAGTGCGAATTGTTGCTTATCAAACTTAACATAGCGCACTTCTGTGGATTCTCCACATCCCAACAGGGCGTAAGGCTCTAAATTTGGAGTATTCGAGTACTTTGAGTTGTTTAGAAAATTTGTTACTAACATTGTTTAAATTTACATCGTATTCAAAGGTATTTTATAATTTTTTCTCCGTATTATCATTTCCTTGAAAGTGCTAATTGGCAATTGTTAGTTTATTATTTTCATTCATGCATTGACAAGCTCTTATTTAAGGGAGACTTCAAGAACACGGAACCCAGTGATGATCACGAATTATCCCTCGATATAATCACATATGATTTAATTACATTACATCACATCATATTTGTGTAACGATAAT